TCGTTGGCCAGGTTCAGGAACAGGCACACGTTGTCCATGGAGCCGTTCTCCTCAAAGTCTGACTTGAAGAACCGAGCCGTTTCCATGTTCACCTAAAGCACAGCACCCAGGCTTTAGGTCCAGGTTTAACTCAGCACATTTTGCATCCTCTTAAAGGCTGATCAACTCATAAATAACCCACAGAAATGCTCTCCATCTGCTCAAAGGCTCCTCTGCACTCCCAGAGTGAGCAAATTCTACAATTCCAGGCTGCAGATCGAGTTCAGGTTCTTTATCCCGATCAGATTTATTTTGTTAGAATGATGAGATGGTTTGGGTGGAAAGGGACATTAAAAGCCACCCAGTGTCACCCAGTGCCACCCTTCCACTGTCCCAGGGTGCTCTAATCTCAGACACTCCCACAGAAGGAGCACCCACAGCTTATCTGTGCCAGAGCCAAGCAGTTCCAGCACTTCTGACCTGAAATCCCTGAAATGGATTTTCACCCATTTTTTAATTCCACACACAKCAAACCTGCTCACACTTCAGAATGTCACTGATTCCCCCAGCCCTGGACTCACCCCCATAGCAGCAAAGACAATGGCAAAGTTCTCCTCGCTGTAATCCATCACATCTTTGGATTTCTTCACCAAGCCAGCCTGGCGACAGATCTGAGCTGCAATCTGGGGAGAAACATCCCAAATTTGTGTTTGATGCTGYTCCACACTTTCATTCAGTCAGGAACTCCAAGTTTAGAGCAGGAAAAGCCTCACCTCATTGTGGGGCAGCCCAGCAGCTGAGAAGATGGGGATTTTCTGGCCCCTGGCAATGCTGTTCATGCCATCTATGGCTGAAATTCCAGTCTGGATCATTTCCTCGGGATAGATCCGACACTGGGGGTTGATTGGCTGGCCTGGGTTTTTTTTTTTAAGAGAACACAAATTACTCCTTCATTGAAGCCACACATTTAAAACTGAGATAAAACTTCTCATAACTTAGATTTTTGTGCTCCAAACTAAATACATTAATTCAGAAATCAGAACATCAGATCTGATTTCACTCACCATGGAAATTGGATTGAGCACATACCCATAATATCCAGGAAATCTTCAGCCAACACAATGGGGCCTCTGTCTATGGGTTTTCCTGATCCATTGAACACTCTGCCTATAGGAAAAAAATAATAAAACAATAATAGAAGTGTGAATTGCTGTGAAAATCAGTTAATTTGGGATAAATCTGTTCATTCCTCACAGCCCTTACCCAGCATATCCTCYGAGACCGGGGTTCGCAGGATGTCCCCGGTGAACTCACACGAGGTTTTCTTGGCATCAATCCCTGAAGTGCCTTCAAATACCTGCAAATAAACAGAAAAAAAATACAGAAATAAATYACAGGATAGAGGTTTGWGCTTCACAAAGTAACTGCTGAGTGCTGCTTCACCTGAAGCCCCAGGGCACAATGCAGGAACTGCTCTGCAAAGGGCTTCAAGAGCAAAATGTTGGCACAAAATCCAAGTTCTAACAAAATTTATGAATTATATCAGCAATAACCACCAAAGSTGCTGCCAATCTTTTAGTCTCAAGTGTTTCCCTCTGTCAAGTTCTTCAGATAAAATAATGTTAACAAGAAACAGATTTTTAGGAGAAATACCAGCCCACCATACACAGGGCTGAGCTGGAATTCAATACTACAAATTACAGGGAATTCCTTGAATCCAGCAGCAAAAAATCCATGGGGATGCAAATAAAAATGTCACTGTTAGCAATCCTCTAAAATTATTGATGTAATCTCCAGTTGCAAACAGGTGATTTATTGTTTTCATTTCAAAGAACAGATCTGCAGACAGGTTTGATTGAGAGCACATCCTGATTAATGAAATCAGAGCACATCCTGATTAATAAAATTTGGAAAAATGAGGTTTCTGCTCATACCTGAACCACAGCCTTGGAGCCACTGACTTCCAGCACCTGCCCACTCCTCCTGGTGCCATCAGGCAGGGTCAGGTGCACGATCTCGGCGTACCTGGGGAACTGCAGGAGAAAAAGGAGGGCAGAGAGGATTAAATTCCACAGCAGCAAATAAAAATCACCTGCTTCAAGCCTAGAAACTACTCAGTTTTAATAATTATCAGCAAAACGAAACTAATTCCAAGGATATTAAATTTCCCAGGCTAAAGCCAGTTTATAGGAATAAACATTTGCAGGGTTGGAGCTGCAGAATCAGTTCTCAAAACCCTGAGAGTCCCCAGTAATGACAGAAAATCCCATCTGATAAGAAGAAAAACCTGCAGATCTTGTTTGCTGAAAAAAAACCCAGAAGTGTCCAGAGCTTCCTTTTCCAGAGCATTGGTTTGGAAACAGAAAGGTCAAGAACAAAGGAAAATGATACATCCCAAATTGGAATTGAAACAACATTCCAGGGGTTTGGTAAAACTCAAACATTGTTTTTTTTTCTTTGCCCAGCAGCCTCAGAATTCTCCTTTTCCTCCARRACAGAGCCAGCCCTYCCYAATCTCAGAGCCATTTCCACATTCMCATTTATCCCAGCACTCAGAAATGTATTAAAATTTCTCTGTGGAAACTCCCAAAACTCTGGATTTTACCTTTCCCAGCTKTTCCTGTAAACTCTCCCTCCAAAAGCTTCATTTACCTTAACTTGATCCAGGATAACCAGGGGACCATTCACACCCGACACAGTTTTGTAAGCTGGAAAAAAAAAACAAACCACAAGTCAGGCACTTCCTCAGGAATATTCCACATCCAATTTTTTCCATTTTATTTCCATCACCAGGCTCGGGTTGGAGGATTTGAGGTCTGATTTTGGTGTTTATTATCAACTCCCCAATTAGGATTAGGGACAGGATTGGGTTCCCAGCATTTTTCCTGCTTCCTGCAAAGCCCTGGAGGTGACATTGATGTGACCCTGGGGATTTCTGAGCCATCACAGGAATTCACTGCAAGTCTCCAAGGACTTCAAGATCCTTTCCAAGCCAAACCATTCCATGATTCCAAGCGAGGATTTTGCTGTCAGGCAGGGAAAAAGCATCACTTGAGCCTCAGATCAAAGAAATTGTGAGTTAAAGCCCCCTCAGGGTCACCAGGAGCAGYTGGGATTGTTCCTCACTGCTCCCAGGAGGAAAAAGGAATGACTGGAACCATCCAGACCCCACCAGGATCACAAATCCCAGCAGCTCCAAGGAATCACTGAGGCCATTCCAGACCTGGCAGCTCCCTGGGTTCTGTCTGCACTGTCAACAGCTCCGTGTTTACACTGCAATAAAACACTYTGAGTTGTTGCAATGTAAGATCTTAATGGGTAAAAATTAAACTGCAGCGGTTCCAGGCTCAGGGGAGCGGGGATTAAACTCGAATTTTGCAGTTTTTCTCTTAAAATCTTTCCAAATACCCTAAGACAGAGCCTGGGGCTTAATTAGTCCTCATCAGAAGCAGCAATTGGGCTGCTCCTGGGGCCTGAGCAGGGACACTCACCCAGGCATTGTCCAGGAGGGTTTGCAGCCCACAAGAAATGGAAATCATGACCCTGAGTGAAACATTTCATCCCATGACTGTCTCATGAGCACTCCTTCCTCAATCACCCTCTCACTYCCAGCTCTGTCCATGAAAAAAACCCTTCCTTGGCACCAATCAGCGCCAATTCCCCAGGAGAGCAGCTCAAAATTCCCCTTTCCACCACAATCAAGTAGTTCCATGATAAACTAAACACAATTTGAAACATTTTCCATCCCCAGCTTGATACCAGTTCAGGAAAAAACCGGAATCTTCAAGGAAAAACAGGGATTGAGGATGGAATCACCCTGATTGAAGCTTCTGCTCCAGAGTGAAGACTTTAGGAAAGGCTGGAATTGTAATGATCCATTCGGATTCCAAACCTGACTGAAATTTCCAAAGGATCCATCACCCACAAGCTCCTGGGCAGCACCTTCAGGTCCTGTTGCTATTTAGAGCACAGGTAAAACCATTTTATATAACAGCTGCCAGACAAAACACCTTCGCACAACCCTGATTTCGGCCCACTGCGCTGCAATAACGGGATTTTTACCAAGCTCTCGCATTTCCCCTTTTTCACCCGATTTCTCAATTCAGCGGGAAAGGAACAGACTCCATCCCACCCGCACCATTTGCAGTTCCCGTTCCAAACGCCGCTTTTTAGCAAGGACAGGGGACGGGCCGTGTCACCAGCGGGCAGGGCTGCCCAATTCCCGGAATGCAGGGGGTAATTAAAGAGGTTAATTAACARCCCGAGCCCAGCCGGACCCCCCAGCCCGCTCTGAGGGGGGGACAAGCCCGGAATGAGCCGGTTCTGCCCTCAGAGCGGCGGAGCTGCGGCCCGGCCTTTGCGCGGCCCCCGA